TCCAAGGGAGTTTGGGAAAGTGATTATCTGGTGAAGAGAATAGGATAGCCATAGTTGGCTTAAACTAATCATGAGTCGTCTTTTGGGCTGAGCACATTACCACGCTGAACAAAATGTGAGCTCTGATAAATGAGGAAGAAGGGAGAAATGACTGTTGGATTGACAACTAACAGTGCCTAGCACTTTTGCTATTGCAAATCATGCTGCAGTGGATATCTGTGCTCCAAAGAAAAAGGTAGATGCAGTTAAATTTTTTGTAGATTGCTAAATTGTCCTCTGAAGAGTTGAAATCAATTTATATTCCCATTAGCAGTCTATGAGAGCACTTGTTTCCCCATTATCCTTGTAAGTAAGATGTATTATTAGATGTTTTGGTCTTTGCCAATCTGATAGGTAAGAAATGGTATCCCATTGTACACTTAATTTGCATTGTTCTTATGAGTGAAGTTGAAGATCTTTTCATCTATATAAAAATCATTTGTCTGATTTTCTATGAACTGGCTGTTCCTGTTGGATTCTGGTTCTTTTTTTATTTGATTGAATGATTTTTTTTTTCAATTAATTTTTAGGAGCCATTTATGTAATGAAATTAGCTTGTTGCCATATGTGTTGCAAAATCTTTTCCTAGTTTGTTAGTCTTTGACTTTGATTGCCTACTTATAAATCCTGTGATTACACAGGATTGTAAGTTCTGCTGTTGCCAGGCTATATGAATCTAGATCTTGAGCAATGGTATAAAAAGCGTGCTTACCAAAAAATTTGTAAGTGATGCTAAAACTGAAAGGACTTTTGAATATGTAACATCACAGAAAATCAAGAATATCTAAGCAAGTATGAAGTGTGAAAGTGTCAAGATGGATGTTAGATAGGAAACTTAGAGGTCAGTGAGTTTATGTTAATGAGAGGAGAAACAGTTTGGAAAAGGAGGGTGAGAATGGTTGCACAACTAGAAGAATATAATCAGTGTCACTGAATTGTAGAAATTTTTGAATTGGTGTATGTTCTTGCAGTTCAATGGACAGCTTTTGTGTGGCCTTTCTTGCCATGGTCTTGTAACTCCCACCCAAGTGTTTGGGTGGTACTGTACATATAAGGTAATTCTGGCCTACCAAGGGGATTGGTTGGTTTTGCCATCCCTCTAGGCTTAAACGAGAGCCAATTCCAGAGCAGAGAGAGGATCTCATCACCACCAAGAAAGAAAAGCCAAAAGCAGAGCACATTCTTTGGACCTGGGATCCCTGTGCTAAGAAGCTCCTGGAACCAGGAGACTGAGAGAGAGAGCTGTAACACTGAAGATGGCGAGTAGCGGTGGCAGAGAAACAGTGGCAGGAGAGACTGGCAGGAGACAGCACAGTGGGCTTCCCAGCCCATGGAACAAGAAGGCTGAGTGCCTTTGGGCAAGAGGCTTGCTGGTGGAGTAGGGTGCCTCCAGGCACTTGGTAGAGCTAGGTTTGGTGACCCACAGAGCTAGAGCTGAGCGCCTTTGGGCCAAGGTTTATTGGTGGAGTAGGGTGCCTCTTGGCATTTAATAGGCAAAGCTAAAAGAGCTTTATAACACTTGGCCAAGCAGGGCAGAGGCCGAAGGGCCAGAGAAAGGCGTGCCTGTGGGCACAGCTGAAAAGAGACTGTCCTGATGGAAGAACTGTATTCTGAGCATTCCTGAACCTGAATTGTAAACTGTTACTTCCCTGATAAACCCCATAATCGTGAGTATTGTCTATAAGTTCTGTGTGGGCATTGCAATGAATTATAGAACCCAGCAGAGAAGTAGAGAGTGCCGTGGGAGGGATGGTTGGTGTCGGAATTGGTAAAGATGGCGGAAAGAGGATGCATGTCTGACCCCCCACCTCATAGGAATCAGCCCTGGGCTGTTGATCTTGGTTCTCCTTCCCCCTTTTGAAGTTAGATGAGGAGCTAGATGCCTCTGCCATGCCATTTTTACAGAAAATAATGAAAAGTCTTGTTGACTTTAGTTCCTTAATAATTGGGGAGGAAAAAATGAAATGTTTGCTTTTGCTTGTAGAAAAGAGTACAGTAATCAAAAAGGCAGCTTTTTCAAAAATATAGAAAATAGAAAAGTAGAATATTACTTGTCTTAGTTACCTAGTGCTGCTATAACAGATTTACCACAAGTGAGTGGCTTTAACAAACAGATTTATTTTCTCACAGTTCAGGAGGCTAGAAGTCCGAATTCAGGGTGCCAGGTCTAGGGGAAGGCTTTCTGTCTCTATCAGCTCTGTAGGAAGGTCCTTGTCTCCTTTGAGCATCTGCTCCTGGGTGATCTTCATGTGGCTTGGCATCCTTCCTCCCTTGCTTGTTTTTATGTCTCCGAAGAGACTGACTTAAGACACATCCTACACTAATCCCGTCTCATTAATGTAACAAAGACAGCCCATTCCCAAATGGGAGTTTAATCACAGGCATAGAGGTTTGGATTTACAACCTATGTTTTTGAGGAACATAATTCAATCCGTAACACTACTAAATCAGTACATGGAATTTTATTTTATTTATATTATTATTATTATTTTTGGCAGTGTATCTCTTAAGACTAGTGTTTCAAGGACATACTTTGGGACATGCAATCTTAAAAAATTGTTAAAACTAGAGAGTTCATAATTTTACACTGCATAATAGAAAGTAAAGGTTGCTATACTGTAGGAGGAAGCAGGAAGTTGTGTGTTAAAACTAGGTTTAGTTTCCAGTTCTGCCACTTGTGTATGGTGAGAAATTTACCCTATGAGATTTAATTTTCTCATCTGTTGTTGGGGACAGTGTCTACCTTTAAAGGAGCTTGACTTCTAACCAAAAGGTTGACATTTCAAACCCACCAGCCACTCTGTGGGAGGAAGAGGTAGCAGTCTACTACTGTAAAGATTTACAGCCTTGGAAATCCTATGGGGCAGTTCTACTCTGTCCTATAGGGTCACTGTAAGTCAGAATTGGTTTGACAGCAGTGGGTTTTTGAGTCTACCTTTCAGGGTTGTGTACACTGGAAGTAATTTATGCTAAGTGTCTAGTAAATGCCTGGCACACAGATGGCATAAAATTAATAGTAATTATTATTAACAACTATTCTGACAGTGTACTTACGTGTTTGAGTCTTCTTTTTAAACATGTGCAGCAAGATAATCTGGGAGATTATATCCACAAATTTATTTGTATCTTCAAGCTTTACAAATACATACTAGGAATTACTACTATTATGTAAAACCAGATCTTGTTTTTTAGAGCACAGGGCTGGGTTTCACAGCATCAGTATTGAATTCCCTTTAGTTCATTGATATGCTTCTTTGTTGGAACTGTTTTGATTCTTGATAATGTAAATAACATTTGTTTTGAGATCCTTAGATGAAAGATGCCATTGAAACAGCTGAGTGCTATATTCCTGAGTAGTCTTTAACAGATTCCAGTACCATGTCTTTTCTGCTTAGACTTTTTTTGTCCTCAAAATGGCTGTGCTCTAATCCTGTGACAGAGCTAATTCTGCAGTGTGATGTGACAGAAACATTTTTCTGACATGAATAAGGCCCATTTTTCTTAAACTATTGGGTCATGAAATTCGTGTAGAAATGCCTTTTGATGGTCTTAATCTTTTTCATGGTAAACAACAACATGTGAATTTTCATAGGCAGGAGAGGAAGGGTAAATTGTTTGGAATTCCAAATTCTTTTCTAGTTCAGGTTTTTTTCTCTGCCTGCCTATTTCAACATGCTTGCTAAAGAACTGGACATTGTCTTGTTTTAATACAGGAATTTCCTTAGACAATGTAAGCCTTAAGTTAATGTATAAAATATTTTGAACATCTTTGGGAGCTATCTTGGGGTACTAGAATGAATGCTCATCTAACATAGTACCTAGCAGAGTTCTTGACACATTACCCACTGCCTGTTCTGACTCATAGCGACCCAATAGTGTTTCCAAGGCTGTAAATCTTTATGGAAGCAGACTGCCACATCTTTTTCCTGCGAAGCCACTGGTGAGTTCGAACCACCGACCTTTGGGTTAGCAGTCAATCGCTTTACCAGCAGGGCTCCTTTGACACATGTTAAAAATCAAACCAAACCCATTGCCATCAAGTCTGACTCATAGTGAGAACTGCTCCATAGGGTTTCCAAGGAGCAGCTGGTGGATTTGAACTACTGACCTTTTGGTTAGCAGCCAGACATTTAACCACTGTGCCACCAGGGCTCCTTGACACGTTAGGCACTTACTAAATATCTTTTGCTCTTCCAGGAATTAGAAGGCCTCGATTCTAGCCTTTGTATGCCTCCAGCTGTGTGACCTAATTAGACTGTTGTTAGGTGCCGTCGAGTTGGTTCCGACTCATAGGGACCCTGTGTACAACAGAACGAAACACTAACTGGTCCTGCGCCATTCTTGTGTTTGTTGTTATGCTTGAGCCCACTGTTGCAGCCACTGTGTCAGTCCATCTCCATTGAGGGTCTTCTTCTTTTTCGCTGACCCTCTACTTTACCAAGCATGATATCCCTCTCCAGGGACTAATCCCTCCTGATAACATGTCCAAACTATGTGAGACATAGTCTCGCCATCCTTGCTTCTAGGGAGCGTTCTGGCTGTACTTCTTCCAAGACAGATTTGTTCCTTCTTTTGGCAGTCCGTGGTATATTCAGTATTCTTCGCTAACACCATAGTTCAAAGGCGTCAGTTCTTTGCTGTTCCTTATTCATTGTCCGGCTTTCGCATGTATATGAGGCAATTGAAAACTCCATAGACTGGATCAGTCTCATTTTCATTTTTAAAAGCACTAGAATCCCTTCCCACTCTGATTCAGTGACTCAGTTCATTCTTAGCCTTATTTAAAAAAAAAAAAAAAATTGGTTCCTGTTTGGTCTTGAAGTCAATCTCTGGTAAATAAGCAAATGCAGAGTCACCAGTTAGGCTAAATTGGGAAGTGTTGTGAAATAACAGTTATTTACTTGGCCGTATGTTCTTTCTTTACGCTCATGGAGTTACCATAGATTTTTTACCCACTCCAGGTTGGGACTGTCTACTATCAAGCAAGAAGATTTCTTTGCATCTGCCCAAAGAGGATGAAGTGGGAGCTTCATAGAAAGACTGATTTTTTTTCCCATCATATATGTCCCTAAATGGTACTGTTGTGCAGTACACTTACTGTATGCAGTGGGAAATATAATTTAGGAGATTTAATTTTCTTATCTGTTATTGGAGACAGTATCTACCTTTCAGAGCTGTGTACACTGAAATTTATTTAGTCTAAGCTTCTAGTAAATGAGGAATACTGATTCAGTTGTTTTTTAAAAAAATACTTTCTTAAGATAGGTTTAGAAAAATTTGGTCAGTGGAGAAAAACCTTTTCAAAATTTTCTTATATTTTCCTCATTTGTGACAATGAATGTAAGTATACTGAAAGTAGTATTATGGTTGTCATCTAATCTGATTTTTTTTTGTTGTTATGGTTTACTTAATTTCTTTCTGTACCTAGAGAATTTGCATTGATCTTTCAAGTATTCTGAAATAATAATTGCTTTTTTTTAACTTGGCAAAAATAACTGATTTTCTTCAGTGTTTTGGTACTTAGGCTTTTCTTTGTTGTGGCCTAAAATGAAATGACAAATTTGGGAATTTAAAAACTAAAATAAATTTATATTTAAAATTGATGTCACTGATTACTGGCCCAAACATTAAGATTCTTCTAAATGGTCTAATATCTGTTAGTAAAATGTAAAACAAAGCAAAATAATAATTTTCTTCTGGTATTATGGCAGTATGGAGGCAGAGGAGGATTAGGAAGACAGAAGTCCAACATGTAGATTTGGATCTACCAATGAGTTAGTAAATATTTATTGAATGCCTTCTGTGTGCTCAGTTCTGTTATGGCATTTGGATTTGATATGGTATCTCTCTTCAAGAAGCTTACTTTCCAGGGAGGAAAACATGAAAAATAGCTGACTATTGAAGGCCACACAATTTGTATTATGGAAGTTCAAAGAAGGGGAAAGTAGATTAGTGCTGAAGTGGATTTGATTGTGTCCTTTGTTTGGGTAAATGCTGGAGAAAAGCAATAACATTGCAAGTATGAAAAATAAGATGAATGAAAGTATAGAGATAGAAATTAGTCCTTTATTGTGTGTTTTTGCAGTTGGGAGACTAGTTTAATCCATTTGGTTTACCTTTTGGAGACATAGCTTAGTTTTGAGTCAAGTTAGCCTAAAAGATACGAAGGATGAACTTTGAGAGGCAGAACAGATACAAAGGAAAATGGGGAGACTTTTTTTTTTTTTTTTAAATTCGTAGGTAGTGATATGTAGAATGAATTGGAGGGAGAAGAGACTTGCATAGGTGAAGACAGTTGGAAGTGTCATGTTGTAGTCCTGAAATAAGGTGAAAGAAGTATCCAAAAATAACCTTTGTTATTTTTCTGTCCTATAGTGAAAATAAACCTTTGTTAAAACATTGTTTATTGTTAAAGACTACTCTGTCAGCAGAACACTTGTTTATTCAATAGTATTTCAAAGCACTGCAAACTGGAACTTAAATCAGTGGCAACAGGGATCACAATAGAGGGTCCTGGACAGAGCTGGAGAAAAATGTAGAACAAAATTCTGACTCTCTGTCTCTCTGTCTCTCTGTCTCTCTCTCTCACACACACACACCACACACCCACACACACCCACACCCACACACACACACACAACCAAAACAAAAAAAACCAGACTTACTGGTCTGACAGAGACTGGAGAAACCCTGAGAGTATGGCGCCAGGACACCCTTGTTAGCTCAGTAATGAAGTCACTCCTGAGGTTCACCCTTCAGCCAAAGATTAGACAGGCCCATATAACAAAACGCGACTAAAGGGGCACACCAGCCCGGGGGCAAGGACAAGAAGGCAGGAGGGGACAGGAAAGCTGTTAATAGGGAACCCAAGGTTGAGAAGGGAGAGTGTTGACATGTCATGGGGTTGGCAACTAGTGTCACAAAACAATATGTGTACTAATTGTTTAATGAGAAGCTAGTTTGTTCTGTAAACCTTCATCTAAAGTACAATAAAAGAGAAGAAAAAATATCAGTGACATCTGACAAACCATTCCTTATTTTATGACAACTTGTCAGTGAATAATATTGAATAAAACCAATATATAGTTTTTTTATGTTTATGGTAAGTAGTGCCAAATGTATTGAATTTCTAATCTTCCCTGGGTCTTTGAGCCCAGAATTCTGTCTGTTGCAAACAGTGAAAGTATAAAATACACTTTGTATACTGTTAGGAAACAAATGAGAGATGAAGACGCACTAGTATAAAGTGTATTTATTCCATAATCTAAGTTTAGAAATCAGTAGAGCAAAGATCAGGTTAAGGCATCAAGGCACTCGGAATAGTGGGTATATTTCGTTTTGACCTACATCTCCTGTTCTGCTCTTACTTGACTAAGAGCAGTGAAAGTCCATAAACTATGGTATGTAGTACTGCTGATCTCTGATTTAAGCTTCATGTAGATGACTTCCAAATCTGCATCTTCAGCCTAGACTTTCTTCTACCTGCTGAACACCTGCACTTTGATGTCCTGCTGGTTCCTGAAACTTGGTATGTGTCTTCTTTCATATTCCTTGGCATTTTGCCATGGCCTCCTTGAATTCCCATATACCTGTTCCTCCTCTAGTTTGCTTATCTTGTTTAATGGCTCATCATTCACTTAGCCAACAAAACTCTGGGTTATTTTTTATTTCTTTCTGTTCCTGACTCTTCACACTGTTCAACAGTTTCAGACTTCTGAAACATCTCTTCTCCATTGAACCTTCAGGGTGTTCATTTGTTCACTCATGCACATTTTCACTTATTCTAACACATTTATTAAGCACCTTCTATGTGCCAGGCAAGGAGCCCGGTGGCGCTGTGGTTAAGCGCTTGGCTGCTAACCACAAGGTCGGCAGTTCGAACCCACAGGAGAAAGATGTGGCAGTCTGCTTCCATAAAGATTACAGCCTTGGAAACCCTATGGGACAGTTCTACTCTGTCCTATAGGGTTGCTGAGTCGGAATCGACAGCACACAACAACAACATTTTCCAGGCACTGTACTAGGAACTAGGGATATAGTGGTGAATAAGACAGATGAGCTTTCTGCCCTTATAGGACTTATAGCCCAAACTTTCATCCTCTTTTCCCCCTTTGGTTTATTGTTATGGCCACCCCATTTTTCCTGGTTACGGATATAAAACCAAAAAACTTGTTGCCTTTGAGTTGATTCTGACTCATAGCAACCCTATAGGACAGAGTAGAGTAGAACAGCCCCATAGGGTTTCCAAGGAGCAGCTGGTGGATTCGAACTGCCAATCATTAGGTTAGCAGCCAAGCTGTTAACCACTGCACCACCAGGGCTCTACACTTGAACTTTAACTAATATATATAAAAAATGCACATGGACCCTCAAGACTATGGCCCCCAGACACCCTGCTAACCTAGAACTGAAGCCACTCGTGAGGTTGACTTTTTAGCCAAAGATTAGACAGGCCTGTAAAACAGACAATAACATGACGAGGAATGGGCTTTTTAGTTGAATCAAGTATACAAGACCAAATGGACAATACATGCTCAAAAGCAAGGACGAGAGGGCAGGAAGGGACAGGAAAACTAGATGAATGGACACAGAGAACCCAGGTTGGAAGGGGAAAAGGGGAGAGTGCCGACACATTGTGGCTGTTGGCAACTAATGTCACAAAACAATTTGTGTATAAATTTTTTAATGAGAAACTAATCTGCACTGTCAACTTTTACCTAAAACACAATAAAGTTAAAAAAACAAATGCACATGATGAGTGATTGTTTTGAGGATATGAGATTAAAAGTAGTTGTACGTTTCTCTAAAATCTAGATTTTTCTCTAAATGTGGCATAATCCATTTATAATCTTAAAAAATAATAAACATGAATAAAAAATAAGCCATTGGCATGGATTCTGCTTTCTGAGAGGTAGAAGTGCAGGATGTGCCAAGTGTGACATTTACGCCACCATAGGATGACTGCTCGTTGTTAGGTGCTGTCGAGTTGGTTCTGACTCATAGCAACCCTATGCATAACAGAACGAAGCACTGCCAGGTCATGTGCCATCCTCACAATTGTCGTTATGCTTGAACCCATTGTTGCAGCCAGTGTGTCAGTCTATCTCTTCCTCTTTTTCGCTGACCCTCTACTTTATCAAGCATGATGTCCTTCTCCAGGGACTGATCCCTCCTGATAATATGTCCAGAGTATGTGAGACGTAGTCTCACTATCCTTGCCTCTAAGGAGCAGCCTGCTTGTACTTCCTTCAAGACAGATTTGTTCGTTCTTTTGGCAGTCCATGGTATATTCAATATTCTTTGCCAACACCACAATTCAAAGGCATCCATTCTTCTTCGGTCTTCCTTATTCATTGTCCAGCTTTCGGTCAGGTGCACTTTAGTCCTCAAGGTGACATCTTTGCTTTTCAACACTTTAAAGAGGTCTTTTGCAGCCGATTTGCCCAATGCCATGTGTCTTTTGATTTCTTGACTGCTGCTTCCATGGGTGTTGATTGTGGATCGAAGTAAAATGAAATCCTTGACAACTTCAGTCTTTTCTCTGTTTATCATGATGTTGCTTACTGGTCCAGTTGTGAGGATTTTTGTTTTCTTTATGTTGAGGTGTAATCCGTACTGAAGACTGTGGTCTTGGATCTTCATCAGTAAGTGCTTCAAGTCCTCTTTGCTTTCAGCAGGCAAGGTTGTGTCATCTGCGTTATGGCGGGTTGTTCACGAGTCTTCCTCCAATCCTGATGGCTGCATTCTTCTTCATATAGTCCAGCTTCTCTGATTATTTGCTCAGCATACAGATTGAATAAGTATGATGAAAAGGATACAACCCTGACGCACACCTTTCCTCATTTTAAACCATGCAGTATCCCCTTGTTCTGTTCAAATGACTGCCTCTTGGTCTATGTACAGGTTCTGAATGAGCACAATTAAGTATTCTGGAATTCCAGTTCTCTGCGATGTTATACATAATTCGTTATGATCCACACAATCAAATGCCTTAGCATAGTCAGTAAAACACAGGTAAACATCTTTTTGATATTCTCCGCTTTCACCCAGGATCCATCTGACATGAGCAATGATATCCCTGGTTCCACGTCCTCTTCTGACTTCGGCTTGAATTTTTGGCAGTTCCCTGTCGATATACTGCTGCGTGGTTATACAGGATGGCTTACCTGTACAAAATGAATGATTGACTACTGAGATCTAGTCTGGCTTTAAAATTTTGTGGCTGTGAACTAAGAGCCATAGTTTATATCAATCCATTGAGGCCTAACCTATACATGCCTCACTTTCTCACTGTAGACATGTAAATGGCCAAAATGGAAGGAGAGGAAGTATACTACCTT